TTTTTTTTTTTTTTTTTTTTAAAGCCGTGGCTTCTGGTTTAACCTGCCCGCCGGGAGCTTTTTAAGTAACATTAACAAATATCGTTTTTATTGAGAAAATAATGAAAGTTAAAACATTATAAGAAAAAAACAATAAAACGATACACGGAATTTATATTACGACCAGTTGTGGTGTACACCTGGTGAAACCTAGTCTCTAACATTACAAAAAAAAAAAAAAAAAAAAAAAAAAAACCTAAAAAAAAAAAAAAAAAAAAAAAAAAAAACAAAAAAAACAAAATAAAAAGAAAAAAAAAAAATGTTTTCAAGAAAAAAATAGAAACAAAGAAAGAAGGAAGGGGGGGGGGGGGGGGGGGGGGGGGCATGATGCGCACGGAAAGAACTAATTCCAAATGACGGAGGAGTGAAAAGGGGGCACCACCAAAACCACCAGGGGGAAAACCGGTGCAAATGCAGTGGATAGATGATAGAACAACAGCAGTTGGCAATTCAAGCAAGGCATTAAAAAAAACACACATGTTTGGCCTGAGTGGTAGGAAACGGTCAGGCAGGCCAAAGCCCTAACAGGGTTGTAGCTCCACGGGTTTTTAATTAAATAAAAATACCTAGTGTCAAAGTCAATCAACATCTGTGTGATAACAGTGTTTATGAACTTAGCCAACCTACAGAATCACGGAGACTCGGCTTCTTTTTGTTATTCACACATTTAAAAAAAAAAAATAATAATAATAAGTTATTAAAAATGATATGGAGTTTCGTTGAGATAAATTTTAAAAAATTTGGAAATTATAATTAGAAGTTTAAGTGAAATAAATTTCCAAGCTGTGAAAAATTCCCGCAAGATATAATTGACCCTTCCTACGCTAGTTTATGTAAGGAATGCATTCGGAATTGAGACAACAGTTTCAGAACCGTTTATCCGAGCTCAATGCCGAGGTGGGGGGGGGGGAGGAGAATTTTCCAAAACCAGTTTGATTGTGTTATAGATGAGCTTCCGGCTGAATGTCAAATCGAAATGATGGCTCGGCAATCCAATGATACGTTGATGAAGAAATATTTAAAAAGGGGAAATCAATAGACTTCGTTACTAAGTGGCTTCGAGGCAGTCGATTTGCTCTTTTCAAATGACTTTGTTTTGGGGATTTTATTTTAGTGTCTGGCACTGCCCAGATGCTGGAGAGGGTGCCTGAAAATTTGATAAAACATGCATACGAGTAACGCACTTTATAGGAAACCCTAATTTATGCTCCTCCCCCCCCCCCAACCCAAAGGATTGCAACCGCATTTTTTTTGAAGCCCTTAAACTATACCAATGTTATAACGACCCAACCGCTTCCATATCGTAGATTTATTTCACAAGTTATTTCAGAGAAAAAAACAAAAGAACATATTATGAACTAAAAGCTGTTGCGATTTTTTTTTTGTAAACTTTTTTTTTAAAAAATAATCTCATTTAGCGCAGTTATTGGGATTTTATTTCGTGTATTCGGTGGCATCATATTTTTTCCCCTTCATTTTCCCCTTGGAAAAGGTGATTTGGGGGGGGGGTATGTTGGGGGTCGGGGGCTGAAAAACTGAAATAATGTGCAATTATTTGCAATGAGTCTGTGTGCCCAGTTTCGGCTCGATAGGTTAATGGGAAGTGGGTTAATTAGCCGTCTGAAGATTTTGCCAGTCAGCCAGCAGCGAATAAAATCGAATTTCGAGAGATTGACGTCAAGATGCAGTTTTAAAGGGGAGTGAGCTGCCTTTCAAGTGTCAACAAAAAAAAATACGTTTCCGCACTACACGAGGAAGCTAAAGAATTAAGGTTTTATTTCTTTTCTTACACCAACAAGCAAAAGATTATCAATCTGATTTTTTCTTTTTTTTTTCACTAAACATGCTGAATATTCCAAAACATAAAAATTCAAAACATACGAATCAAATCCTCATTATTAAGCATGTTTCAGATTTTTTGTAATTTTTAGCCATGTGAAATTTGTAATTAACAAACCTGTCTTAGTGCACCGCTAGATGGTAAAATATAATCACCATAAAAATATTCAACATAGGATCATTTTCGTACCGTATGAAGGCCAGACAACGCTCGACACTGCCAGATATGTGAGCTGGAATGATATATGTGACATTTTTTTGTTACCTTTGTTTTACGAGGATTAAAATTTTAAGGGATTGTTTGGCTCTCCGACGAAAGTCTAATTCACTGACTGATCAATCAGACTTAACCATCCGATGAAATGGTACCTTTTCTGGAAGGGTACATTTCGTAAAAAATATATTTAACATAATCGTGTTTCTAGATGTCGACAGTTTTTAAACTCTCTTGGAATTGTTCTGCCACCCATTTCAAAAGTAAATTAATTGGTGGATTTGTGAAATGGTAAATTTAAAAAAAAAATATTATCGTGGACTTTAAGCCATCTCCATATTCATTTTGACGATAATCAATTAAATAATCAATGACTCTTTTCGTTAGTGAAACTGCAATTTTATTTGTATCCTATATAATTCGTGCACAATATAGAATTGCATTGAAATATGGCGCGTAAAAAAAAGAGGTTTACAAGCCAAAAAAAAAATTATACCTGGGGCTCGGTAGCTAGTGAGACCCCATGTCTTTTGTACTCAGTATACGTCAAAAGGGCATTTTTAACTCCTATTTTTTCAACAAGCAGTACGCTGAAAAACCTACCTCCGCCGCCAATTCGAAGTCGCTGTTACGAGAAAAGGGCGCCGTGGGGAAGATAGATGAACTGAATGCACCTTGTTGTTGTTGGTCAGTCGGGAGTCGATCACGACCACAATAATCATCGTATTTGTTCTAGTTCTGCCTGTGGGTGCGCAGACTGCTGATGAGGCCGATTCTGGCATGAAATGGGCTTATCTCGATCGCTTTCAGTGAGGCTTTTAGGTTGTTTCTTCTGTCCACCAGCAGACCGGTTTCCTTGTTCGAGCTCAACATAGAAAATTCTTTAGGGCAGACGGTCGTCTGACATTCTCACATGTCCCACTTCATTAAGATGGTAAAGATACTGGGGAGACCTGCCTGTGTGAGCACCTCTGTGTCCGGGACTCTAGTTGTAAGAAAGTGGTTCAGCATTCTTGCATGGCGTTGTTATGCCGTCCTCGTTTCAGATGCATAGAGAAGCGTAGGGCGAGCAGCCCTCTGATATACCTTCAGTTTAATTCGAGTGCTGATACTTCTCCTGGTCCATTCGTTCTTATTTAATTTTCAACAGGATGCACTGGCTCTCGCAATGCGGAGGTTAACCTGGTCACCGATGGTTGCACTTTGGGACTGTGTGCTGACAAGATAAAAAAAGCTATTCAACACCTTAAGTTTCTAACCCTATACTTGGCTGTTGGGCTAAACATAAGGTCCTCGAGAAGCTGGTATATGACCTTAATCTTTTTTGTTTTAATGATGAGCCCCAAAGTTTATGCAAGCATTAGAAAAGTTTATATATATATATATACATACCAAAGCTTAATTATCCGCACAATTCTCGTTTCCATTCTCCTTAATTTGGACAGCCATAATATTCAAAATTAAAACTAAAGTTGTCAATCTAAGATATTATTGGGTTTTACCGAAGCTGTATCACTCACCCACCCACAACCACCATCACCACCACCGACAACACAACCTCAAACGAGAGCTAAAAACTAAACCATTCCTAGATAAAGGCTTTATCATAATTTTTGTTTATCAATATGCACAGTGTTGTTAGAGCTTTTTTTAAGACAGCTAGCCACACGCAACACCGAAGACAACATGCAATAGTGAGATAAAGCCAATGAGAAGGAGCAGAGTCTTTTCGTTTCAATAATAATTGAACCAGAGTTATATTTATTAAAAAAAGGTAAGTCCTTAACGAATCGGTGTAATTAGACTTAACAACTTGATCAATAATTTCTATAATTTTCCAAATCAATTTTACAAATTCCTTTCTCAGGGTATTGCCTTGAAATGTGTTAGCGAAGATTGGGTCAAAATGTGTAACTCGTTGCAACTAAACGCGTCTTTCCACCAGTGGTATTGGACTGAATCAGTGTTTCCCTAACTTTCGACACCTCTGTACACCTGTCTATAGTATTCTTAAATTTGAGTGCATCTCGTTAAAAAATGGCACATACCTTAATAATAACAAAATAGTTATTTATTTCCCTGACAGCACGTAACCACCCCCACCCCAACCAAACTCATCCCCGTACCATCAAGGGTTTCTCGTACCACGCTTTGGGAAACACGGGACTACATGAAAATTACAACTTTCGTCAAAAGTAACAGTTCTAAAGAGAAAGAGAAAACATTGGCATCTGTAAATGTATTTCTCCTGTAAGAAACTAACATACTTGCAGTTAGCATTTTGATTTACCACAGGTATGTGTAACGTGAGTGTTCATAGTGTGCACCACTTCCCTGTAGACAGTGTTCATAACGATGACTTATATTTTCAAACTTAACTTTGAACAATTGTTGCCGCATATCAGTTCTGTTGTCAGCGTTTGTTTCTGACATCTTCGCGCCCAGGGTCAGCTGCATCCTCATCTTAACTCTTAATAAGAGAACGGCCAATGCCAGTCAAGATTAGATTGATGTATCAGTTGTTTATGGGATTTACCTCAAAACTAAATTTAGAGACTCCAGAAAGTACAAAGTACTGCATTGTCTTACATATAAAGAAATATGACCACATCACGCCAGATGTTAAAGATCTCCATTGGGTTCCTGTGAGTGAGCGCATTAACCACACAATTCTGTCCGTATAGCTGCTTAGAAAGCTCTGCAGTTGTATATCTTCAAAAACTGATTGATCAACATGTATCCAGACAGAACCTGCGCTCTTCAACACAGTCCTTACTGAGAGTTCCCAGTGTGAATGGACACAAAAAAGTCATACGGAGTGCGCTCTTTTGAAGCTACTGCGCCTTAATTGTGGAAAAGTTAGCCTCAATCCTTGAGAGACATTGAAAATTATAAAAAGTCATCTAATAACCATTTAAAGCCCTATTATATTTAAATAGATTTTAGGGCATCAGTGCGTTGAGAGCATGCTCAATAGCATGAACACAAGCGCTTAAAAAACACTCAGTCATCATTGTTCCCCATTCGTGCAGAAGGAGACTTCTTTCACGAGTTATGCGGGCACAGTTCTTGGTGAATCTTTACTGTTGAGAATACTCTACTTTAACATTTCCCCACACCCGAGGCATCAGGTGGCGAAAGATCAGTGAAGTGAGACGAGTAAAGGATGTCAGTGCCACGTGAAATGATTCTTCCACAAAAGTTTTTCTGCAGCATGGCCATTGATTCTCGTGGTGTATCGCTGGTGGCCACGTCCTGATTATACTTACTACCCCTTAAATGTTAGTACAACAGTTTAGCTAGTACAACAGAGTTAGTACAAAATAGAAGTTATTACAATAGAGAAATTATTAGTACACCAGAGAAGTTAGTGCAGCACATCAGTTAATACAACAGAGTAATTAATACAGGATGGCAGTTAGTACAAAATAGCATTTAGTAAAACATGGCAGTTAGTACAACATTGCAATTGCAGATAGAACAAGATAGTAGTTAGTACAACAAAGTAATTAGTGAAACATATAATTTAGCATACCATAGCAGTTAGCACACCATAGACTCTGGCACACCATAACAGCTGGCACACCATAACTGCTATATCGCACCATAGCAGCTGGCACACCATAGCAGTTGACCCCAGTGCATTTGGCACACCATTGCAGTTGGCACACCATAGCAGTTGACACCATTGCATTTGGCACACCATAGCAATTTATCTTTGCATTTATGGTTCGTTTTTTTTCAAAATTTGATATCACAGAGTGCTGTTGATGATAAAGTAGATTGCAGAGCAAGGGGGTGTGTAAGGAAGGTTTAGTTAAGGTGCGAGAAGGACTAAGATTGGATCGGGCAGGTAGAGACGGTTGAAGAAGATAATGGTCAATGAGATATAAAAATGATGTTTTTTATATGTAAAATAGTATTTCATACAAAGCTCTTGTATTAGTGAGAAAAACTAGAGATAATTCAAGGCATCAAGCAGTAAGGCCTAATCTTAAGTGATGATGTTGAACGAAAACAATGTTGTGGTTTTAAAATATGAAACCGGGAGTTGAATTCCAATATTAGTTTAATCATTAAAATTTAAAAAAAAACAAAAAAAACTTGGATATTTAAAACTGGGATACGTCACTGCGAGTGCTCTACTGCTTCCAGGGTTCAGATCCAACGACGCCACCCACTCAATGGTAAATTTTCTTTTTATGGGTCGTTTGGGTCTTCTTGCCAAACCACGTTATAAAGACTTCCTTTTATTTTGGCACCGTTGTCTAGGGTCTTGTATAACTGCAGCACAAAGGTCAAGAACTCTAGTATCTGTGAATAATGACGCGAAAAACACTTCTTAATATAGACTTTTCTTAAATCTTGACAATCACAGGTGTATCCACGTCCCTGTTGACCTCATTAAACCTCATTACACTCAGGACACATGTTTATTGCTACCCCAATTTCCCCTAATCACAATTTGGACACAAAACAACAAACTCGTGGTGGCCACAAACTCATGTTGACAACAAACCCACGGTGACAACAAACAAAACTCGTGGTGACAAAAAACTGATGGTGGCAACAAGCTCATGGTGACAACAAACTCATGGTGGCAACAAACTCATGGTGGCGACAAGCTCATGGTGACAACAAACTGATGGTGACAACAAACTGATGGTGGCGACAAGCTCATGGTGACAACAAACTCAGGGTGACAACAAACTCATGGTGACAACAAACTAATGGTGACAACAAACTAATGTTGACAACAAACTAATGGTGACAACAAACTAATGGTGACAACAAACTCAGGGTGACAACAAGAACATGGTGTCGACAAGCTCATGGTAACAACAAACTCATGGTGACAAGAAACTAATGGTGTCAATAAACTGATGGTGACAACAGACTCATAGTGACAACAAACTAATGGTGACAACAAACTGATGGTGACAACAAACTGATGGTGACAACAAACTCGTGGTGACAACAAACTGATGGTGAACACAAACTGATGGTGACAACAAACTCGTAGTTACGACAAACTGATGGTAACAACAAACTCGTGGTGACAACAAACTGATGGTGACAACAAACTCGTGGTGACAACAAACTGATGGTGACAACTCACACTAACTACAAAGATGGCCATACCTTTAACACTTAGCTCTGCACACTGCTTGATGTTGTTTTTTATGTTTTAGAAGGAAAAAGTATCCCGTGTCATCGACGTATAAATGACAGTTTAGTTAATGAATAAAACATATTTGCTTAAAAATGCTTACACATAAAGCAAACCCAAAAGGAGAATGTTAATGATTTGACAGCGCAAATAGTATTGACATTTTATTTCATACAGATTATTATAATTTAATTTGAGAAGCACCTTATTCTATAGGAAAGCCGAAAACGCTGAGCAAACTACGCAACTAACATTTTTATCAATTAGATCCCATTATAAATTTAAAGCTTTGTTGTGGTCGTGGAGCATAATAATTTGTATTGTAATTTTTCAATAGCCATTCCAACATGATGCTGTCAAGTGATGTCGATCTCCTTCTCATAGGCACAACCGGAAACGGGAAGAGTGCAGCAGGAAATTCTATCCTCAAACGAAGAGCTTTCAAAAGCGGCGGTGTCTTCTCGTCAGTCACAAAGAGAATCGACTACGAGGTGAGTGACTTCAACGGCCGAATTCTAAAAATTGTCGACGGACCTGGCGTCGGGGACACACGGATGAACACGGATGAGGCGGTGAAACTTGTCTTAAATGCGACGGCAGAGGCCATAGCCACAAACCCAAAGGGCTACCACGCGTTTCTCCTGGTCGTGAAGTACGGCCACCGATTCACTGGAGAGGAGCAAGAAACTATTGCGTTTTTGAAGAAAATTTTTGGAGAGTCGTTTGTTAAACAATTTTGTGTTCTGCTCATGACTCACGGAGACGACTTCGAGATTGAGAGCGAAGACACTGGCCAGACGTTTGAAGGCTGGTGCAGGTCACAGACGGGAGCTTTTAAATCTATCCTGTCAGAGTGTAATAACAGAATTGTTCTATTCAATAATATAACAAAAGATGAAGACATCAGAGACAAACAACTACGACAGCTGTTATCTGTAGTGGACCGACTGAGTTCAAAAGGTCAGAGATACACGGACACAAATTTTGAGGAAGCCAGAGATGCCCGTACGCGCATCTTGGTTGACTTACAGGAGCCACTTATACGGGAGGAGACCATGCAAGAAACTAGTCTCATTCTACAAAAGCTGGAGCAGATTCAGGCTTGTGGCCATTTCGAAATCAAACTAGACCTCTTGGAGAAGCTCCTTGTTCGGGCAAAAGCTCTATTTACCAGTACATTGAATTTAGACAGAGGAACCGGGGCAATACATGAAATCTTCCTGACCGTCAAGACCTTGAAATCAACAATATCAGATGAAATCAAATTCACAATCCGTAGCCAGGAGGAGATCCAGCGGTACAATGAGAAACAAGGGGAGATAAAGAGGAAAGCTGATGAAGAGACTGAGAGAGTTCGTCTAAAGTTCGAGCTCATATTGAATCAGAACACACTTGAACACCAGCGAAAAATTGAGATTTTAAGACAACAAAAGAAATCACACGAAGAGCTGGAAAGGAAAATGAATACAAAGAGAGAACGCAGTCTCGGGGAACACATGAACAAGCTTGAAAAGCGACGTCTTAAACAGGGACATAAAACGGAAAAGCTGGAGAAACAATACGGACAGACCAAGGAGAAAAATGACCGGAGTATTTTAAACAAGATGCTCAGCGGAATCCTGGCCTTTCAAGAAAATAGCCAGCTTGTTCAGCTAAAAGTCCACAGCAGCAGCTGATCTCAGCAATTCCTTATTCGAACTTCATTACGATTTTTGCTTATAATAAGAAAGAAGGACAAATATTTTTAGTTAGTTTAAAGTAAACGTAATTAGAATTGAGCTTTGTATTTTTTTTTAATAAACAACAGTCAGAGTTATATCATAAATAGATGGTAGGGATTTTTTAAAACAAAAATTCTTACATATTATTCACAAAACCAAACTACTTTAGAAGGATCTCATTTAAACGGCCCACCGTAAATACACGATATTTGAAGAGCTAATGTGCAGGCTTGTCAGCAAACCAACAAACGAAAATGCTTCTCAAAGAAACGCGTTTAAATATCCTTCCCTAGTTGAGATATTTGTAACCAAATGTCGTTGTAGAACATCATTAAAAAAAAAACATTAAACAAATTTGTTATCAAGTAAGTGCCAATGAAAAAAAAAAGATTTTAAGATGCAATTTTGAGTATTATGTGATTTGTTTTCGTAGTATAATTTCCGGTACATTTAAAACAATGTTGTTTTGGTTTTTGTTATTTGAATAGAATAGTTACATGTGATATTCAATAAGTGGCATGCATAGGAGATTATCCGAATTTTGTCTCCATAAGACGATGTCACTCCTCTAGCCCGCCCCTTTTCAGCCCATTTCTCTCACCCATCCCCTCACGCCCCTCTCTTCTTTCACTCCTCCCCTCTCACCCATCCGCACTCATCCCTCCCAGCTCTCACGTGACCTTTCAACTGCCCCCCCACCCCGCCTCTTTTTTTTGGTGTGCAATCTCACGCCTGTCCTTCTGTCGTTAAGCATTAAAAAGATAACATTGTTTATACATCAAAACTTAGTCTCATCCCAGTACATTGATTTTTTTAAAAAAAGATTAAATATCTTTTTTAAAGGTAAAATAACTTTTTTTAAATCGTTATATTTGTGGTGTGGGGGGGGGGGAGATTTATTAAGGTGTCATCTTGTGTGATTCAAACTCCTTTGAGGGGTATCATTTGGTATCGTCCACACTCCCTAGTGAAGCTACTGCTTAAAATATTTGTGAACCTTTGAATCTTGTATTTAATACTGAAATTAAAGATGGTCCTAAAACCACTCTGAAACAATTAAAGAGTGTCTGACAAAACCAATTAATTTTTAATGTTACAGCTGCATTTGCTTACTTTGATGATTCACTAATTGAAAGCTGAAGCCAATGCCTATGAAAATGTATTAATTAGTTTCGGATTCAGAAGAAAAAATAAAAAGTTCATGTCATTTTTAGGCAATGTGGACAGTGATCAAGAAGTAGGGTCTTGCACCAATTAATACCCCAGAGAATAGGTTATTTATGTTTGGTAAAAAAAAATAGCAATTTATCTTCATCTTAACGTGCACCTCTTTTTTCAACCGAGATGTTTCATTGCGTTGTTTGGTGACAGTTGGCGTATCTTAAGCTGATGTGCAATATCAAGTTTTTTAAAGGGAATGGTTGTTCTGTTGAATGATGATATCTTGCAGCCTTCTAAAACACTGGGATAAATGTAATCAAGTAAATATCACATGCATTTTGGTAACCACGTAGATGTCCTACGAAGTTAGGACTACTGCTTAATAAATTAATTCAATATGATGATTTATTTTATTTACAGAAACTTCAAATAAGTGAAACAAGTAAAAGGGATATTTGACCATAGACACGCTAGAATCAGTCAAGAGATATTTTTTCTACCGAATTCTCAGAAGGATCAATTAAAGATACAGTTTACTTTTTAGTCATTGAATTGGGTGTTTTCAACCATAGAAACCTAAAGGACTCATCAAGTGATATCTACTTTTGAATAATTAAATTAAGCGTTGTTTGGTTAAGGTAACGTTATGGATCAATCGAATGACATCAACTTGCTTCTCATCGGCAAAACGGGCCATGGGAAGAGTTCAACAGGAAATACGATCCTCGGTCGTAAGGTTTTTGAAGCGTCTAGCAGTACAACGTCGGTGACCAAATGGATAGACTGTGATGTCAGCTTAGTTTTCGGTCGTGTTATCAAGGTGGTTGATTCACCAGGTATAGCAGACACTGAATCCAAAAACGATAAAGGAGTCAAACTCGAACTCGTCACGAACGCCATGGAAAAAGCAATAGCCATCAACCCAGAAGGTTATCACGCATTTCTTCTGGTATTTAAGTACGGTCAACGGTTTACTGAAGAGGAGCAGGACACAATCAAGTTCCTGATGGCGATTTTCGGGGACGATTTTGTTAAGGAATTCTGTGTGATCGTGATGACTGCAGGGGACATGTTTGACAGTGAGGACACCGGTCTTACTTTTCAAAACTGGTGCAAGACACAGACTGGGCCCTTTCAAGACGTTCTGCGACAGTGTAGAAACAGAATTGTGCTATTTAACAATGCCACCAAGGATAAAGACACCAAAGAGAGGCAGGTGGAAAGGCTTATCTCCATAGTGGACGAGATAAGGGCGAAGGGGAACCGGTATGCGGACGAGAACTTTGAGAGGGCCAGAGATTTTCGAAAACGGTACATGGAGCAGGCCAGTGCCTCAATAGTTCGAGACGATGCCATGAGAGAAACTGGTCTGATCATACAACAACTCGAAGAACTTAAATTGTCTCTCGTCATAGATCACGATGTAAAGGATTTAAAGGCACTTCTAGCTCGAACAGAAGCCTTACACGATGTCCTTTGTCTAAAAGATAAAGCCACTGGGGTGCTCCTCGATCACATCAAGATGGTCAAATCCATTGTGGAGACCATATCGTCTATTATTAAATACACCACTACTGTAAATATAGAGAGAGATAAGCAGCTAGGGAGAGAGAAGCATCCTGGCACAAGAAGAAATCGACAGATGGAGAGAATTGAGAGAGATTTAAAGAAATTTATTAATGAAAAACAGCTCAAACTGAGAAGTAAAGTAGAGAAAGTGACGAAGCGGTACAGAGAAGTGAAGCAGAGAAATGTCAAGACCATTTTGAGCAATGTTATCAACGGAGTAGTTTGGCCGTTTCTACAACTTGCTCGGGCTTTTCTCATAAAGACCCCAGCTCTGACAGAATGAACTCAGTCTTGAAAGACAATAATCAGAGCGTAGGATATATTTCTAGAGACGCTTAGCAAGATTTATGCATACCTTTTTTAAAGCATTGTGCTGGTCATCTCAAAAAAAAATATTAACTACATTTTAAACCTCAAGCGTAATTGAAATAATAAAATCAGTTTGTACTGTTTCTATTGAAGATTTGAAGCTTTCCAACAAATTTTTTAAACTAAATCTGGTATCTCCTTTTCTATACAAGTAGTTGTTTTAGGAAACCAGAGATGCCCGTATGCTAATAATGGCACAGGAGCAATTTATACAAATACTCAGACATATGCTGCAGCTTAAAAGTTTATGATGGTTTCAAAACTTAGACACAAAAAAAAATATAAAGAATCTATACAAATAAAATACAAGTGGATAAAATTATAGATTAAAACTACATAGATAAAATATAGATAAACAAAACATATATATTATTGATAAAGCATTTATTTTATTGAAATATTTAGAGATTTTTTTTCTAAACGCTTATAGATTAATGCATGTCTATTTATTGTCTTTATTCACATTGCACTGTTATGTCATCTTTGTGCAAAATATGTCTTGCAGTCCACTTACATCCTTCTCGTTACGCAATTTTGTTTCCTCTGATCACATTTCATTATAAGACTTTTAAAGATTGAACTTCTAAGGCAAGACAGAAATTAAGGTTTCAAATGTTGCATCAATCAATATGGCAAAATTTTCAAACTTTGAGGTCAACTCAACAAGCATGGTGTATTAATAATAGCATCTTAACCTGTGGAAATAAACTGTAGATGGTCCCTCAGATATTATAAATAAAGGCTGAGAACCTCTGGTCTCATCTATAAATTCCCAAGTATTTGAAAAAAAGCGTTACCCTTATGTAATCTCGATCTATTTTCAATGTTTTAATAATTTATAATAATTCAAACATGACAATGCAATTGTATCATCTTTCATACTCAGTAAGGATCCATCAAGTATTTCAATCGTAATAAATTAGAATAAAACTGGAACAAAATAAATACAATGTAAACCACAAAAATAGGAGCGTTTTTTTTTGACAACTTGGCAGTTTGTCTTTAATATATCATAAATATATTTTCACATATTTTATAATAATTTTTTTCTTTACATGGTACATTTGAGGTAAGTCATTGTGTAGAGCAATGTTTAAATTCATGAATTAGCGCATTAGCTTATACATTTGGACCTATTATGATTCAAAATGTTACGATGATAAATTTGATTGATGTCTGTTATAAATGTATTGAACTGCATCGTTTTTTTTCTGTATTTTCAATACAAGAAGTTAATTTTTGATTCATATTTAAATCAACTGCGTAAAAAATGACGCTTTTAATTTAGAATTATGCTAATGCTATTTTTTCAAGGAAAACATTTGTAGATTCGTTTGTAACAAATTATTATAAATATAGTATATATTTCTTTTATTATTTTAATCAATTTTTATTCTTATATATATATACATTTTTTAAAATTGTATTTTTTTAATTAAAAAAAAAATTCTTTTAAATTTATTTTTGTTTTACATTTAGTCTATGCACCTGTTAATTTTAATTTTTTTTTATTATTATTATTATATAATTTATTTTTTTGTATTTATTATTATTTTTTTATTTTATTTGATTATTATCATTATTTAGTGATTTAATTTTAACTTTTTTTTTCATCAAAATTTTTTGCATCGTTGAATCTTTTGATATAAACAAAATAATATTATAATTTACTTTGTATGCTTAAAATCGATTGTAGCCTGTTTTTAATTTACGTTAAATTGAATTCTATGTAGAAAAAATTATCAATATTTAAACAGATGAAATAAACTCTCTAAAACCAAATGTCTATGTTGGTTTACTGCTATGTGAAATCTGCATTTAAACAAGAACATTTATTTAGTGTCCCTTTTTTTAAAATATAGCACTCCTATTCGTTAATCAAACGTATCAACTTTTCTTTTTTTTAATAATTGAAGATACTTTTTTTCTGAGCTCAAATTTTTTAATCATGTAGCCTGGGGCGTGTGGCAGGGGATTAGGCTGGGGGTGTGGCTGGGGTTGATGTCCTCTTACAAGAAATGGGTCGAAATCTTTGCCGCGCCATTCACGAGAACATTCTGTGCAGTTGGTAGAAAAAGCCGATAATAAAAATCTATAGGTCTCTCTCTCCCTCGCTTGCTTTCTTTACATCTGTCTCTGTTTGTCGTTTTGTTCGTTTTGCCTGTCTGTCTCTAAAACCTATCTCGTTCTCAAATGTAACTATTTCATTCTCTTAGACTCAGTTATAAATAAAGCTTGGATTGCATTTAATCTGACCCAATTTTTTTTTATCTAAACCTTCGAGTGAAATCGTCAAAGAAAAAAAAACGCATGTGAAATAATTATTCTAGTTATTTTATGCCTCACCTTACATTAAAATTGGAATAAACTGGTGAAAACAATTAAAAATACAGCTCATATGATCTGAATAGACTCAAATATTGTGAGCTAAAAAATTGCGTGCTAAAATATTGTGTGCTAAAATAAAGTGTGCTAAAATAGTATGTGCTAAAATACTGTGTGCTAAAATAACGTGTGATAAAATAGTGTCTGCTAAATAATTTTAGCTAAAATATTATATGCTAAAACTCTGTGTGCTAAAAAAGTGTGTGCCTAAAAAGTGTGTGCTAAAATAGTGTGTGCTAAAAAAGTGTGTGCTAAATTAATGTGTGCTAAAATACTGAGTGCTAAATAGTGTGTGCTACAATATTATATGATAAAATTATCTGTGCTAAAATAGTGTGTGCCAAAAAAGTGCGTGCTAAAATACTGTGGGCTAAAAAAGTGTTTGCTAAAATACTTTGTGCTAAAATTATGTGTGCTAAATTACCTTGTGACTAAAAAGTGTATGCTAAAAGTTCTGTGCTAATTTAGTGTATGACAAAATATTACAAAAATTATTCATAGCAAAATTATTTAAAAAATTAAAAAAAACAAAGTTTCAGAAGAACAAAAATTCTCAAAACAATGTGAATATATATATTCCATAAATTTATGTCAACATAACACTTAAAATTGTATACATTGTCTAATATGCAATCTCTGGAAATCGCCAAAAAATATCGTCTTGTCCTAGCTCTCAATATATCTTGTTTCTGTTCGGTTAAAGGCAAAAGTAAAAGCATTTAAGTTTATAACTTTAAGCACGAGAACTGTCGATGGTTTCGCTATTTGAAAACACTTAAGCGTGTGAACAGCTTTTTAGTCGTATGAAGCAGATCAAATCACAAGTGAGAACACGAATTATAGATGTTCATTTAGAATACTGTTTACGTGTAGCGACAACATCAGTCGAGATTAATTATTATGCACTTAATTCTGCAAAAAAAAAAAAAAAAAAAAAAAAAAAAAATGTCAGCTATCTAACTTTTAAATATTTTAAAATTGTCCAAGAATTATTTTTCATTCTTATTTATGTTTATTTTCTTCATAAAATTAAATATAACTATCTATTTCTTGTTGTTGCTTTTAAAAAAATTAAAATCAGGCAAGCTTTTGATCGCGATCTCGGCTACTGGGAAGCGACGATGTGGTCGAAGCTGTAGCACGCGACAAGAAATGTTATTTCTAAAATGTGGCCCACCTGCTGAAAAGGTTGGCCACGCCTTGCTTTAGAGTTCCATGTAGCTGACATTTAGTTTCGCACTACTCACTAGCCATTTTTTCCTCTATAGCTATTTTAACTGCATGTGAAATATACAACAACAAACAATATGTTTAGAAAACAAAATGCCTCTTTAAAAAATTGATCTGCTCCGGAAAATTTTCCGGGTGTGTAATACTTGGTATTTCCGGGTATCTGGGTCAGCATATTGCTCAGTTCTAAAAGATAAATGTATACCAACACTTATTATTCTACAAAATTCTCGTTTCCGCTGTATATCATTTGGACAGTCATTCAAACTATCATTTGGACAGTCATTCAAACTATCATTTGGACAGTCATTCAAACTATCATTTGGACAGTCATTCAAACTAAGGCGGTCAATGTTAAATAACATTGGGTTTTTACCGAAACTTTATCTCATCCTCCCCTCCACCACAACCCCCCACCACCCCCAAAATCCTAAATTAGACCTTGGTAAAGGCCTTATCAGAATGAGGTTTAGAACTATTGCTACACATTTTTTTTTGAAAGCTAGTCACACGCACGCCAAAGACAAAATGAAACATTGAGATAGAGACCATACGAAGGAGAAGAGTCTTTTCGTTTCAATCATACTTGAACCAGAATTATATTTATTTTTTTTTAAAAAAGTTAAGTCCTTAACGAATCAGTTTAATTAGACTGACGCAGCTTGATAAATAATTTCTATAATTTTTAAGGTCATTTGTTTGATGTCTTTTCTAAAGGCTATTACCTTAAAATGTATTAGCAATGATTCGGTCGAATTGTATAACTGTATAACTGGTTGTAACTACAAGCGTCTTTCTAACCGCGGTATTGGACTTAATGATAATTACAGCTTGAACCGAAAGTGACATATCTGAAAAGAAAGTAGAAAAAATAAGAACAATATTTCCTTTTTGTCATGCGTGAATGTATTTCTCCAGCTAAAGAAAAAAATTGTATAACATTTTCTAAAAATGTTTAATATTTTATTTAAATTTATAGGTAAAATAAATAGGTTTTTGAAACCAAATATATCGAAACCAGAAATACTCCAAAATTAAAATTTTCGCCGATTCATCACTAGCACCGCCCCTTATTATGTGAGCATGATTGTCATACAGCACAAGGTCTTTTACATGCTGTCTCTAAGTTCACGGTTATCTACTTGAGGAAGTTAATCTTATACAACAGTATATGGACCAAATGCTTTACTCTTGAAAAAGGGGTGATCAACCTAGAAGCCTTAAGATGGTTTCTGCACGAGAAGCACTCTCACTTGGTGGAACATGTTATTGAAAGGGCACTTTAAAAATCAGACCTATATGGAAATTAGGTAGAGAGAAGATGTAGGAAGAGAATGGCAGGAGAACAGAGTAAGAAACAGAAGGGATATGCTGGAGTGTTTTGATCGCATTCATTCTGAACTTCAGATCAGATCATCAGCGATCAAGGAAGTAGCACATATGTTTGGTGCTGTTCAATCCAAGAGTCTATAATACATTAGTAAGTGCAGAAGAGTTATTTGGTTCCGTTACAAAATTAACCTCTTTCTGTGATTAGTAATTAGAAGTTGAACTTTTAAAAGAAATAACAAGTCTTAATAGACACAAAATGTCAGCTGATATTGAACTTCACAAAGTTACGGACTAGTCAGTAGATAATGTTTTTAAATTCATAGTTGAATGGAACTTCCTAGAATCTCTTCGAATACTCTCGCTAAG